CATGGAATAATCCAAGTACGCGAAGATAGTTTTAGTTTGAGGGATGTAGGGATAAAGTGTCAGTCACTTTCTGCATATAAAATTTTATTTCCGACATTTTTTAATTAGTGTACCAAGGTCAAATTACTGTAGATATTAGTTTTCGAGTATTTTCGTTTTCTTTGCTTTCTTTCCTTCTTTCGCATGTGGATTCGACAAGGCCTCCCCTTATAAATATGTACAATGAAAATCATAGTGCATACGTACGTACATACTGATAATCGCATAGATACTTATTTCAATGTGCTGCTTGATTATACATTAACTCTATAAACAAATATGTGGGTTCAAAAAAATCCGAATAGATGAATTTGCATATAAGGACCCGAACAATGAAAATAAAGGCCCAAAGTGAATGGGTCTAATGTGAAAATAATGCATATAAGACCCAAATTTTGAAATGTTATCACTGTATATATGTATTACCTTATAACATTTTATATTATTCCCTTTCGCTTAATGAAACTTTCTTTTAACCAAGATACTGCTTGACTAGATTAAACATGATATTTATCAATTTTGTAATGTTCATGCTATTACTTTCAGACTCAAGTATCTTTAAAGGAACTATTCTTGATTCTTTCGAGAAAAACGGATATATATTTATCCCTCTATCTCCAGATCCACCTCAAAGTTATTTTGAAAAAGCAAAAAAATTTGCTTCTGACAATCCAAAGACCACATTTGGTGCATTAACTGCGGGTGGTCTTTTACTAGGTCCACTTGCGGCTGCTGGTTTAGTAGGTGCGGCTGGATTCGGTTCAGGTGGTATAGCAGCTGGATCAGCTGCAGCATGGATGATGTCATTGCAAGGTGGTGCTACTGCTGCGGGTAGTCTCGTAGCTATTCTGCAATCAGTTGGCGCGGCTGGATTAGGCGTGACAGGAACTCTCTTATCGAGTACTGCGGGTGCCGCAATTTTGAATGGTTTGTCTGCATATATCACGAACAATCCAGAAAAGCTAGAAATATTAGAAAATTTTGTTAAGATATATGACGAAGGTGGAGAAAATGACAACCTTATCGTGGTTTTCGAAATACGCAACGAACTTCTTACAAATGATGAAGCACTTGACGAGTTTTTCAAAATATTTGATTTAACTTTGCCGTTAATTAAGACAAAACGGTTCAAATTTCTTATACATGAAGAATGCGCTACTGAGGGTCTCAATATTTTGAATAATCGGTTTGTAACAACTTATGGAGAAAAATGTGTTGAACCAAAGCAACAAATTATTATGCTGAATTTGGGTTAATTTCTACTGAAATCTTTGGATTATTGTTTATTTTGTTTATTCTTAGCTGAATTCAATAGATATACAATCGTATAATAAATGCAGATTTAAATATACTTGATATGTATTAAGTTTTAGATTTAAGTAACCTACAATTAGGTTATGGGTAAACAGTATTAAAAACATTTGGGCTTGTCAGAATTAATAGGGCCAATATATTATACATGTTGACAAGTTTAAAAAAATAAAAGGATCTCTTGAACCTGCTCAGTTTCTCGTAGCGTTCAATGAATGTACGTAGTTTCTGGCGAGAAAGTTCGAAACGTCCCACATATTTTCGAGTCGTATACAGTAATACTATAGTATCATACTTCTCTTGTCAACCATTGTATTTTTAAAATATTTGGACTTGAATCTTAATTATTTCATGCAATTTAATAAATGTAAATTTTGTTCATATAAATACCACAGATATTCGTCTCATAGTGCTACTCGCGGAAGGAGTGTGTTTTGAATCTGATACCTTCTCTAATTAATATTATAAGTACTGTTGAACCTCACAAAATTGATCCTGTTAAAACCGATAACCTGTTAAGTCTGATAAATAATTAGTCTACCAAGTATGTTTCTGCTATATAAATCTAATATTTTATAATATTTTCAAATCTGATAACTTCTAAATACTGTCCATTATGCATATCGATTTTGGGAGGTTTAACATAATTTATACCACGGTATGGTTAACTTTAGTGATTTTAAAACCTTCCAGTAGGGCTCATTAATAGTAAGGGTCCTATTAATACTATTAATTTTGACCTTCCAGCAGCCTTCTATCGGCAA